ATTTAGCTTTAGATTTTACTTTTATACATTTTCATTTTCATTAATATTAATATATTTTATATCCTCTTGTTTTTTTGAAAGTTACCCTCCTAATATGGCCACAATATGTAGAGATCCCATAATGTTTGAGACTCTACATATATGGCCGTTTATCCTCTTAGGTCTCAAACAAGATGGCCCCAATCAGCTATATCACACACAAGTGTGATTCTCCCTTCGTTTTCTGTATGCGGCGCTCGCATACACGCGATCGTGGCATGCAGGAATGGGTATCTCCTCCCTCCTTCCCTCCAATAGGCCAGCTACCTAATTAGAGCTGCCTATTGTGGCCATCCCACCTCTCCCTTTGATCGCTTGGTTCACTTGTACGAACTTTGTAATCCCATAACCCCTTGCGCGAGGTCAGTTGACGCGACATCGAGGGCGTGCGACATGTTTCCTGCTTTTAACTGTAAATAAACACCATAAAAAGCTTCTTTTTTAAAATTTCATTATTATACCCTATATATGTATTCCATACCTTTTATTACGTATATAAAATAATAGTTTTTTATACAAACCAAAATTTCCTAATGCTGCCACATGTTTAAGATGTCATTTTGGTGCCAAGGCCATATGTTTGTTTCCACTTGATAATGCCCTGTGTGGTGAAAAACGTTGTGGATATTTTAAGTTTATTTAATAAAGGTATTTTGGCTACTTTAACCCCTTAAGGACCAAACTTCTGGAATAAAAGGGAATCATGACATTTCACACGTCATGTGTCCTTAAGGGGTTAAAGTTAAGTGTGCCAGATTCCTTTAATACTGCTGCTATTTTAGCATTTTATTATTTTTACTGCCTGCCATTTAATTTTAACCTGTTCCAGTGTTAGAACTAGGTGAGGGTTATACCACTCACACTTTGTAAATTGAGCGGTTTGCCTGCTCTATTAAATGTGAGTAAGAAACTGTTTATTTGTTACTCCTGGTCTTTTATATAAAGAGAGCACTATTGTTGTTTCTTTTTATATCTATGTTCTGCATATTGCAGTGACATCTGTTAAACTACATCGCTTCACAGATCCCATAAGTGGGGATTATATTACTGTGTGCTATCCATACTAGCGCTAGTCTAAGCTCTACTAAATGTGAGTAGGATTACAAAGACCTTAGAGATACTAGAATCACTTCCAGTCGCGTCATACTGCACTATTAGTTGTTGTTCATTCTGCTTTTTCAGAACCCTGATCTGATATCTCCATAGAAGATTTCTCCTGACAAGACCTGGTTGACAACCCCTTGCAAGTTTTAATTTATTTGTATATTTCATTACATTTTCATTGGACATTACTGTGACTTCTATTCGTGTTTTTTTGTTATCTCTGCACAATTTTATGTTTTTTATTTATTAGAACATATTGTGGAATCTTCTTATATATTATCTTAATAGTTGTATTCAGTATTTTATTATATTTGGCGCTACCTCCTTATCTCCTTTTCACATATGTCTATTTTTTGAGGGGTCTCTGAGGGCAACCCATTTTTAAGGTGAACTGTCTCTTTTTAGGGTTGTTTTTTTTTTTTGTGGTGCGAAAGCACTGACCTCCTTCCCATTGTATAATACATGCTTTGCCTTAATAAGCATATCACTTACCTATTAGCAGCACACTGAAGTGGAGGTTTCATCTATCTATCTATCTTTCTCCTGTTAGGTAATCTGATTTAATTATTTAGCTACATTTTTTTTTAAATAGTTGAAAAGTTGGATCAATTTGTGCAAGTAAGGGCATGTATTTATACATGCAAGGGTTTATGCACTAAAAAAATTATTGAAGTAAACTGAAAACGTATTGCCAAATTTAGGACATTTACCTAATTTTCTAAAGTGCCTATCCTGGATTTTGCCATTTTGAATCAAGTCTATTCACTGTTTAGTGAATACATCCAATTTAATATAATTATTCTATTTGCCATGTCACTTTCTATGGCACCGCTGGTTTATTTAATAGCTTGCTATACTTGACGTGCAATTTTGGATTCTTTAGTTGAAGTGGGTTCTAATAGTAACCTTTTACAAACCAGTGCACAATCGTTTCTACCAATTGCTCTCTGATGATTTAATCTGCCATATTCAGAGGCTGACAAATGGCATTATATAAGTATTTCCTGATTTATTCAGCATATGTGTGTTGATACTTAGCTACATGACGTCACGCACACCAACATAAAATGCACTTTCATGACTGTGATAGTTGAAGTGTTGATGGGATAATCACCAATGAAGAAATTTATGAAAAAAATTATATTGTAAATGCTAATGATTGCAGCAGTATGCTACATTTTCTTCTATAGACTGTAAGCTGCCAGCATGTAATTGCAAGATAAGTAATTCTGAAAAATATTTCCTCCTAGCTGACTCAAAAAGTACTTGCCTACAGGATGTGCGGTCTGAAAGTACATTACCTTTACAGATGCCCGTCCACTTTTACTACATGGAAATACTGATCATATATTATATTATATTGATTCCAATTAAAGTTTCAGTTCACTTAGGGGACATTTTTGCTTTAATTGCTAAAATTATACATTCATCAGGAAATTTAAATATCTGAAAAATAATGACTCACTATTTACTTGTAATCTTTTTCATGTGATTTTGCATTGTCATGTAAATAAATATTAAAGTTTACAGGATTATTCACTAAAGTGAGAATTGCTGGGAATTCAAAGAATCCAAGATAATTCCAAGTCAGAGGCTAAAATAACTAAACCTGAAAGCATAGCATTTTCCACTTTGGCTATTCTGACCTATTAAAATCCCATTGTAATAATTTATATAATAATTTATATACCGGTAATTCAATAATAATAATTTTGGTTACAAATCCGTTCAGTTTGGGCACAGCCAGAACATGTTATTTCTACATATCTAGCTTTGCTGTCTTTTTGCTGACAGATGTAAAGGGCAGAGTTTATTACAAGCCACAGTGCCAAGATGGAGTCACTCATGTTCCAAGGTAGCGTTAAATACAGCAGTGTGGATTTCTACATTTATTTCATTATACTAACCTCACATACATTTATTTATTAAAATATAGTGCATAATAATAATAAAAATTCCTGGGAAGTGACAGATTCCTTTTAACAATGCAAACATAAAAAATTAAGCCTGGCGCTCCAACTCCCAATACTCCTGGGCCGCAGCATTGACTTTAGTACTCATCATCCACAATACATAGAATACAAATAAACAAAAAAAATTACCTACACACTATCCCAAATCTCTACGCACATTTAAATAACTGGAAGTTTTCAGTATCTCTTCAATGGCCACATCAACGCAGACTTTTTTGGTGAGTTCTACACTAACAATTCAACTTTCTTCTTTGAGCTAAAAAGGGCAAAATCTATAATGAGACAGAAAGGATATTTTTATAACCCCTATACACTTATTAAACCTTTAATAAGGAACACATGTAATAGGTGGCAGCACTGTAACATGGCTGTGTAACACAAAAGCAAATACAAATATATAAAATTAAGCACGGCACTCAAACTCCCAATACTCCTGGGCAGCAGCATTGACTGTAGTCAGTGGCTGATCTGGGGGGGGAGAGGCAATGGGGTGCCCCTTACACTGCACTCCTTACACATTGCACCCTTCACACACACACACACACACACACGCCATGCACCCTTCACACACACTGCACCCCTCACACACATACACTGCATCCCTCACTATACTACACCTCCTAACGCCCTACTACTGCCCCTAACCCCTACTTCAGGCCATATACCGGAAGTCCTCAGGTAAGTTGTCAAACGGTTCTAAAATAGTTTGACTACTTACCAGGGCCGGACTGGGGATACAAAGCAGCCCTGGAAAAAAAATTTGTGCCAGCCCCATAAGTCACTGCGCCATATATTGTCGCGTGTAATATGTAAGGCTATGTCTTGCCAGGACAGATGATTGAGTAATATATATATATATATATATATTGTAACAGAGTGTTGGGGATGGTGGTCAGGGGTGTATATCTGGCACCCAGACTTTTGCACAGCCACTATCCTGACATGTGGGTAAGCACATGCAGCCCCAGGGAAAGTTAAGTTTAAATGTAGTTTTTTCCTCTGTTGTTATTTGGGTCCCTGGGGTGGAGTATTCGGAAGAGCAGGGTGGGCCGATTCTCCACCCACTGTCAGAGTGGTTGTGCATGAGTCCAGCCCAGGTTTCCCATAGAGCTCTGGCTCACTGCCTAACGAGGTCATTAGCCTCACCTGTAGGGGCTGTGAGCAGCTATATAACTGCAGTTAAAGCAGGGTGAAGTGAGGGAAGTGTTTTGGAGGAGAAAGAAGATTTGCTGTTCATTGTATCCTGTTACTTCACAACAACAGAAAATAAACAGGCCAGAGGCCCTTTTGAAACTGGACTTTGTCTTGACCTGGTTTTCTTACCCTAGAGGGCTGTGCGGTTGCCAAAAGATCCTGGACAAACACACACAGGAAAGTAAGTTTGTCACATATGGTGGAGAATGCGGGCACTGCACTAAAGAAGCCTGTGGGTATTAACTGGAAGCCAAACAAGCCTGTAGAAATATGGAGGAAGTTGTGAAAGTCTTGTTGCAAACTACAGCTGCACAGCAAAAGGCTACAGCCGTACAGCAGGAGGCTACAGCTGCACAACAGGAAAATATTACAGCCCTACAGCAACTGGTAATTACGCAAAAGGCCAACACAGATGCTTTGATCCAGCAGGTTATGGCAGCCCAAGCTGAGGCAAACCGCCTGCTCAGAGAGGAGCAACATCAGGCCACCAGTATGATACAGAAGGAGATACAGGCTTTGACCAAGGGACTGACCAGAGTCTCGGATGGGACGCAGTCCGAGGTTAAAATGATCAGAGCCAGCCGTTACCTGCAGAAGATGACACCTACAGATGATGTGGAAGCATACCTGCTAGCTTTTGAGAGGACAGCTGAGAGAGAAGAGTGGCCGGTGAGTGAGTGGGCAAGCATACTGGCACCTTTTCTTATTGGAGAACCCCAGAAGGCTTTCTATGACCTGGAACCAGCACAGGCAGGGGTCTACTCCAAATTGAAGGCTGAGATCCTGGCACGACTTGGTGTGACTATGGCAGTTCGTGCCCAAAGATTTCATGCCTGGACTTTCAACCAAGAGAAGCCTATCCGCTCCCAGATGTTTGACCTGATACATCTGGCTAGGAAGTGGTTACAACCAGAAATAAATACGGCAAGCCATATCATGGAACTTCTTGTGATGGACAGATTCCTGCGGGGCTTGCCTGCTTCACTGCGTCGATGGGTCAGTCAGAGTGATCCACAAACAGCTGATGAGTTAATTGGTTTGGTGGAAAGATATGTGGCTGCAGATGACAGACAGTGGCTCAACAACACAAAGGCTAAGCAGAGAGTTAAGACTCCAGCTCCTGAAAGACCTGGTAAGATTTTTCAAGATTTCAGAGACACAGAGGAACAAGAGACATATTCTCAGGGACCCCATACGCTTATGCCTAGAAATGTTAATCCTGGAAAAGGGTTTAGGTGGGGGACAGTTAATAATATGAAATGTTTCCGGTGTAATGAACCTGGACATAAAGCTAGAGACTGTCCCTTGATTGATGAACCGATGCAATGCAATATGATTAATCAGGATGTACAATTGTCTTGTTTGCTGAATTGTATGGAATCTGCTGTTGCCAACTGTAGTCACAATCCACAGATATGTTCCATAAGGGTGAATGGGAAAGAGGTTAGAGCTCTATTAGACTCCGGAAGTATGGCGACATTGATAACAAAATGCCTTGTACCTGAAGCCGATGTTGATGCATTTCAGAAAATTGGTATAATTTGTGTTCATGGTGACAAACGTGAATATCCTACAGCTTTGCTAAAGTTTGAAAGCCTTTTCGGTACTGTTAATCATAGAGTGGGTGTAGTGGATAAATTGGCTTATGATGTGGTATTGGGAAGAGATTTTCCCCAATTTTTAGACTTGTGGGGGTCTACAGGAAAAATAGTTCATGATTGTATAGCAAATGATTCTAGAAATGTGTTCCCTTTTTCTGACATAGAATGGGAAGGACTAGGCATAAGACCAGGGAAGGCTGAAGTCTCAAGTCACAGGCCAGCTTTAGTAGGAGATGACCAGGGCCACGATAGTCAGGAGACCGATAACGATCAGGATCAAGGCATTAACTTCCCTGAATTAGAAGTCAGTCCTGTTAACTTCAGGAAAGCGCAGTGGGAAGACCCCACTCTTGCAGAGGCCCGAAAAAATATCCAGGTTTCAACTGATGATCCAGTACAACTAGATAGAGCCCCTTCTTTTCCTTATTTTGAGGTACAGAATGATTTGATCTATAGAGTAGAGAAAAAGGGGATGGATGTTGTAAAACAACTACTTGTTCCTAAGCCCTTCAGACATACAGTCCTAAATCTTGCACACATATACTGGGGGGACATTTAGGCATAGAAAAAACAAGAGAAAGAGTCTTACAGAGGTTTTACTGGCCTGGGGTGTTCGCTTCAGTTGCAAATTATTGTTCTTCTTGTCCTGAATGCCAACACACCGCCCCTTTTAAGGCATATCGCAGTCCTCTGGTACCATTGCCTATAATAGAAATACCTTTTGAGAGGATTGCAATGGACTTGGTGGGTCCTCTGGTAAAGTCTGCAAGGGGGCATCAGTATATATTGGTGATTCTGGATTATGCTACCAAGTACCCAGAAGCAATACCCCTACGTAACACCTCTGCAAAGACAATAGCGAGAGAACTCATGCTCATGTTTAGCCGGGTGGGCATACCAAAAGAAATTTTGACAGATCAGGGTACACCATTTATGTCTAAAGTTACAAAGGAGTTATGCAAACTACTTCAAATTAAACATCTTAGGACTTCTGTTTATCATCCCCAGACAGACGGACTGGTAGAACGGTTTAACAAGACCTTAAAAAGTATGTTAAGAAAAGTAATTGACAAAGATGGTAAGAATTGGGACTGCTTACTACCCTATCTAATGTTCTCCATAAGGGAGGTGCCACAAGCTTCTACGGGCTTCTCTCCTTTTGAGCTTCTATATGCCCATCATCCCAGAGGTCTACTAGATATAGCAAAAGAAACCTGGGAACAGGAATCCAATCCGTACCGTAGTGTAATTGAGCACATAGCTCAAATGCAAGATAGGATGGCGGCTGTCATGCCAATAGTTAAAGAACATATGCAGAAAGCCCAAGATGCCCAGAAAAACAGTTATAATAAAAATGCCAGACTGAGAGTTTTTCACCCAGGAGACAGGGTACTTGTTTTGGTCCCTACAGTAGAAAATAAATTTCTAGCATCTTGGCATGGCCCATATGAGGTTATTGAACAGGTTGGAGAAGTTAATTATAAAGTGAGACAACCCGATAGGAGGAAACCTGAGCAAATATATCATATTAATTTACTAAAACCCTGGAAGGACAGAGAGGTCTTAACTACTTCAGTTGTCACTGATAAGACTGGTAGTGAACTTGAAGTAAATATACCAGACACCCTGTCCCCCCACCAGAAACAGGAAGTAAGGGACTTCATTGGTAGAAACCGGGATGTATTTTCTGTAGTTCCGGGCAGGACTAACGTTATCAAGCATGATATTGTTACAGAACCAGGGGTGAAGATAAGCCTTAAACCATACAGAATCCCAGAAGCACAGAAAGAGGCTGTAACTGCTGAAATTAAGAAAATGTTAGATCTTGATATTATTGAGGAATCCCAAAGCGAGTGGAACAGCCCTATAGTACTGGTGCCAAAACCTGATGGCTCGATAAGATTTTGTAATGATTTTCGTAAATTAAATAGTGTGTCAAAGTTTGATGCTTATCCAATGCCTAGGGTCGATGAACTGATAGAGAGACTGGGTAAGGCTCGGTACCTGACTACTTTAGACCTGACGAAGGGTTATTGGCAAGTACCTCTTACAGACAGAGCAAAAGAAAAGACAGCTTTTTCTACATCAGGGGGATTATTCCAATACAAGGTGCTACCATTCGGGTTACATGGGGCCCCTGCCACTTTTCAGAGACTGATTGATAGGATTTTGAAGCCTCACAGCCGTTATGCGGCCGCATACTTAGATGACATAGTCATTCACAGTCCTGACTGGGCTTCACATCTTCCCAAAGTGCAGGCAGTACTGGACTCTATCCGCTTAGCTGGTTTAACTGCTAACCCATCTAAGTGTACTATAGGTTTGGAAGAGGCAAAATATCTGGGTTATTCGATTGGGAGAGGACTAGTTAAGCCCCAAACAGCAAAAGTGGAGGCCATACAAAATTGGCCACGCCCCCTCACTAAAAAGCAAGTTAGGACTTTCTTGGGACTTATTGGGTATTACAGGCGATTTATTCCTGGTTTTGCTACATTAGCAGCTCCTTTAACGGATCTCACAAAAGGTAAAGCCCCACTAGTGGTTAAGTGGTCAGTAGAGGCAGAAAAATTGTTTGTAACTTTGAAAGAGGCTTTGTGCACCCAACCGGTTCTGGTAACCCCGGATTTCACTAAAGAGTTTATTGTCCAAACCGATGCATCAGAGCTTGGGTTAGGGGCAGTTCTGTCTCAGGAAATTCAGGGTGAAGAACACCCAGTGTTTTATTTAAGTAGGAAGCTGACTCCCGCTGAGAAAAATTATTCTATAGTGGAAAAGGAATGCCTTGCCATAAAATGGGCCTTAGACTCATTGAAATATTATCTGCTGGGTAGAAAATTTAGGTTGGTCACAGACCATGCCCCCTTAACCTGGATGAGTCAAAACAAAGATAATAATGCCAGGGTGACAAGGTGGTTCCTCAGTTTACAACCATTCCATTTTACAGTTGAACATAGGCCGGGGTCTAAACATGGAAATGCTGACAGTTTGTCGCGAGAAAATTTGTTTTCTGTGGTCGCTCACCCCACTAGGTCTGAGCTGGGGGGGAGGATATGTAACAGAGTGTTGGGGATGGTGGTCAGGGGTGTATATCTGGCACCCAGACTTTTGCACAGCCACTATCCTGACATGTGGGTAAGCACATGCAGCCCCAGGGAAAGTTAAGTTTAAATGTAGTTTTTTTTCCTCTGTTGTTATTTGGGTCCCTGGGGTGGAGTATTCGGAAGAGCAGGGTGGGCCGATTCTCCACCCACTGTCAGAGTGGTTGTGCATGAGTCCAGCCCAGGTTTCCCATAGAGCTCTGGCTCACTGCCTAACGAGGTCATTAGCCTCACCTGTAGGGGCTGTGAGCAGCTATATAACTGCAGTTAAAGCAGGGTGAAGTGAGGGAAGTGTTTTGGAGGAGAAAGAAGGTGTTTTTGTGGAGAAAGAAGATTTGCTGTTCATTGTATCCTGTTACTTCACAACAACAGAAAATAAACAGGCCAGAGGCCCTTTTGAAACTGGACTTTGTCTTGACCTGGTTTTCTTACCCTATTATATTAATATATATATATATACCATAATTTACACATTTATAACCACCTTATTTCCATTTCTTTGGGTGCAGGAAGGTGGCTTGTCTTGCAACTACTGGTATTTTGCTGCAGGGGTTCCTGACTGAAGCTTTTGGAAGTCTGTGGCTGGTACTCCAGGCTCTCTCCCCCTCTTCTATGTGCCTCCACTTCTTTCTTCTTTCCTGCATGGTGCTTGAAAGCTGGAGGAAGTGACCTTTACCACTGGTGAATTGCTGGTCTGACACAGGCCCTAATCTCACTGTTAAATGTCACGGTGCCCAACCAAGCCCCTGGTCAGACATACCAGCACAGGGCCCCTCGGACATGACCCGGGGGCCCAGTCGCGCTCACACACTTTGCAGTTCCTGGTGTTCTGCTGTAGGGAGAAGTGCAATCTGCAGCAGCAACCACAGCCCCTGCCCTTTACCTGTTCTGTACCAACCCTGTCCCCACTAAATCCCAGGAAAGCTAGTCAAACACATAGTCAGACATCCCCACAGGCAAATACGATAGAACAGTCCACACTCTAAGCTCCCTCAAACACAACACAGCTGACAACCCAGATACATGCACACAACTCGATGAGCAACCCCCACACAATACGACATATCACCACACACACAGCTCACATTCACATATAATATTATACAAAGCCCACATACATGCAAAACACATAGAATATCACAAACTGCTCATGCACATACACAAAATAACTTGGTCAACAAAAACAAAAATACAAAGCAGTTACAGCACCC